AAAATGATTGTCTCAAGAGAACGCCCAAAATTAACGTATGCGAGAAAGTTGGGCAGCTGCTTTTCTTCCTACGGTGCAGCCTACGCGAATGAATAGCAACGAAGTGTGAAGCCTAATGCCAATTCCTTTGATTCATGTGGATGGAACACCATCGGTGATGTTTGAAATTGCTTTCATCCACTCGTTTCTGAAAATGCGCCTTAGTTTTCGTTGTCATCGAAATCTAAGCATGTTGCACTATGGGTGGACTTTCGTTGCTAGGTTCGAAATGACAATGAGAAACCTCATTCATGATTAAATGATGCACAAACGAGAAGAGCATGTTGCGTGAAATTTTCAGATCTTGGTCATTACGGATGCCTCCGGAAAGGAAGGCTAAGCGATTGTTCCTTGCGAAACCGACCAGCAGATGGCCCGGGGGGGCGAACTTAGATAAACCTGGTGAAAATATATGGAGGAGTCTGTCTTCTGCCGAAGCTCAGACTCTAGCACAGGATCGCGAACGTTGGGAGCTCTGCCTGACGCGTCTGCCTCCGCGACCCGAAAGGAGAAGCGGCCATGGAAGACGAATGAAATGAATGGTCATTACAGATGTTATTTTTTATGTTTTAATATCGCCCACAAAGCATCTTTTCACTTGGTCTATCGCACATCTGCTCTGAACAGTAATTCCTTGCTCAAGAAGTAATGGCACAGTTCGAATGGTTTCATCTGCATTTTTCCTGTCGTGGAAATTCGCCATGGATTCTGAGACCATTGGCTAACGAGACTGTCATAATTATAGGTAGATATTGGTCCTAATATCGTTAAGTACATCTCTTTAAATCATCATGACTAAAAATCTGCACGAAGATCATTTACGAAAGCGACTGATGTCGGCATAAATGTTCAGAAAAATGTCTTACGAATGACATCTCTAAATGCTAAAACTCTGAAACATCAGTTTCGCAATATTAGTAAACAAGAAATCTTATGATAAAGCACTGGAAAATGGAACGATCTTGCTCTTTGAATAGAAGTGATTCACAATTTTGCTACTGTCATCATCACAAACTAGCAGAACTTAAACAGCAGAGTAACCAAAATTTATGCCCAACCTTAAGGTTTATATAATTTAAAACGAAGGAAGATAAAAATATAAAGACAGCGATCCAATAACGATATACATAGTATTGATTATATTGAACACTAGTATTTCTAAGCCTAGGAATGCGATCAATTTAGTCTGACCGGTTGAAGATCAGTGCCCTTCTTGCCGAAGGCGTTCTCCGGTGACCTGAAGCCAATGGTTGGCCATGAAGAAATGGATGAATTCAAGTAAATGGTCAATACGAGTACCTACAAAATTTGACAGATGCTGTCATCGTCAGAAGATCTATGGTACATTAAATTATTGTTGCTTTGTCATTGTCATCTCAGGTTAACAAAGCTTAAACCGCAGAATAATACATTATAATTACTGACCGTTGAAATGGTACTTCAGACTGATATTAGGCCTGTTTACTGCTATGGCAAAGGCCGTATTCCCTTTTGCGAGCGGGTCAGAGTCAGTATTACTTGGTGAATTAATTCTGTGTTACCGACATGCGGTCGACACTTTCAATCGTCCATTGCACAATACACGCAAAAGCTTTTGAAAAACAGCTAATTAATTTGTTTCATCGCCATTCAACTTTTTTAAAAATATTTCAACCTGTCAGTCTCCTACCATTCGTGCAAAACGTGGATCCTAAGGTCGAAAGCCATTCACAAAATGAAGCATGGCAAGATACATGAAGAAGTAAGAAAGAAAAATAAGAAGGAGAATAAATGAATAAAAGCACATGAAAATGTCTGTGATGTCGTGCCCAAGTGAAGATGTTAAAGTGACAGTGGGGAGCAAGCACTGGAAGGAGAAGCGACCATCGTTGAACTAAAAAGACATTAGATCATAGTCAGTCTGGAGTCCTCAAGGTAGATGGTAGGATCAGCTGAAGAAGTTCGCTGAATCAAGATGGATGAAAATGACAGAATACGGAAGTCAGTGTCAAAAGAAGAGGCCTTCGTGCAGCAGTAGATCGACGAATGCTGATGATGATGATGAATCACTTGTTAATCAGGATATTTCAGTCATTTTCTTTCAAGCGTATTTAATAGCAATGTAATTTGTGCAAAAGTGCTCTTCGTCTGAAATTTGCTGTTATTGGAAACGGCTGCCATGCATCAGGTTCAAAACTGACTCTTCAAAATTCAGCTGAAGTTTGACTTCAGGGAATTATGGAATCAGGGACCGTACAAGAGGAAATCTAGCGTATGTCAGCAAACAACATTTGAACAAAAACCAATTGAATTCAGGATCCGTTATTCGTTCTTGGAAAGGTCCTTCCTTTCGGTCGTCGTATATTCGGATATTTTTGAAACTGCAGTCCTCAGTGCACAATGAGGCTGACTCGAAATTTTTGGCCTACCTCGCATATGACAGAGGCCAGTGGAGGATTCGTATCACTTTCTTCAAGTTGCGCGTTGTCATATTTTCCATCAAGTCTCGTTAATAATAAGTGAGACACAACTCCATTTTCTATGTGACGCTCAGCGACGAAATCCATGTTTCGTTAGGAACTGGTCATTCATCAATCGGCTATGAAATTGGCCATTTATTGATGACCGCACGTAATCTAACCGTGGCCCAAAGTTTGTCGTGCAACCGACATAAGACCAGCTTAAGGGAGACAGACCTCAGTTGTTAAACGTGCCGGCCTATGGGGGCTACCAGCCGTCACTTGTCTCGGAAAATTCCATTTGAGACCGTCCAATGATTGGAATTTACTCGCTGCCTCTTACGTACCTCGTTTGTACAAGTAATGTATGGTACTGCACCCGTGGCCAACACTTGGTCCTTACCGAGATCGCTGAATGCCTTCGCAGACTGGCAACAAATATCAAGCGATACTATTTCTCATTGTACTTATGTTAACCTCAGCTACAAGGAAAAGAACTTAAGGGCACCTATTAATTAAATAGGCAGAAATACCACAGTTTAAATTATCCTATAGATAAGTGTTTGATCGATTCATGGTTCAGGGCACCAAGCACTTCAGATGGTACAACAGTTTATTGCCGACGCGTTTCGCTACGTAAACCGTACCATCATCAGGGCTAGGCTAAGTACAAACGACAGCTGACAAATCGCTGTTCTATGGCCAATTCGTTGATGACATTTTCCTGATGAGAATGAACTGGAAAGTATGGAATGTTTCGTGAATGCTGCAGTCACATGTATCAGCCTTCATGGGCCAGCTACTGGATAGGGGCTTCTTAAAGATTTTGTTACAAATTACTGCTGCCAAATTTTTATCAACGTCATTTCAATAGATTTCAAGACTTCATAGTAACCGATCTGAAGGACTTCTGTCCGTTGTCTTTCCGAAACAAATGTAAATGTTTCTTTGGTCCAGCGATGATTAGTTTTTCTTTCTAATACCAATTTTTAATATTTGATTCTGCAATATGCAATAATATTCTGCCCTGTGCATTATTTATTCGTTTATCGTTTTCATTCCTCCCTGCTCTTCCAAATGCAGACTTTTTCATGCAACACTCAGACAGATACTAACAAATACAGACACCTTCTAGAACATGGCAATATCCTGAATGGGAGTATCTTCAATCTTCTAAAGGCGCTCAGTGACATTTTGCACTTCTGTTAGTTTCTTAAAGTTGGCTCGATGTTGCAAAGGCCGTTTTACACTTTTGCGAGGTTCAATACGTTAAAAGTTTTCAAACAGTGTTGAACATGATTTGGGTGTTTTGAGCTTGATTTTCAGGCGAGCTTCAAAGCTACCACTGTTCACTGCTTGGAATTTCCTCTATTGTGCTTCTGGAGTTGCAATGAGGATCAGAATATCATTTTGAAACCTTAGATGATGGATTGAATTCGTTCATTTTTGCCTCTTTTATCTCTACTCGAGTGTCTTTTCTTGAATTTTTTCTAATGCTGCCGTGAATGATTCAATGATATTGCATCAGCCGTCGGCACCTTTTGTTGATAAGGAGAATTACATGACAGCGAACTGCGCTAAGAAGGAGCACAAAAATCCTCAGTAGCTGCAGAGGTTCGGAATAAACAGCTAACTCTCATGTACAGATTGGTTGAAGAGCGAGCTGCCCTTGTGAAAACCGAAATACTGTGGTCATCGACGAGGAGACCACCGTGCGACGCGAATGAACATCATAGAAGCATATCTGCGTTCATAAGAGAATTGTTCCTTATGCAAATTACCTATTAGTGTAATTGAAAAGCTAAGAAAGCTGCGGTAACATCATAAACCGGAGACTTTGTGATAATGGAAACAGCAACAATCGGTTTACTAGAAAGCCAGATTTAGCGACGTATTACGGAGAATAAGAGAAGCTTAGGGATCACATGCTTAGGATGAGTGGTGTTAAGCACGTTCTCTCGTCTGAGTTGCTACGGCAGCCGAAAAGACCAGTCAATCACTCCTGAACGATCGGCTTACAGATCAGGTCCCCAGCATTACTGTAGGAAGAAACTGCCGGCAAGAGCGATGCTCGGACCAAAATCTCAGACCAGAAATTGGATCATTGCTCATATCGATCCCCAATCAGAGCAGAACAAACTTCATTGCGTTTGTCTACTAGAAAGAGGGTGGCATTAACTAGACCGAAACTAGACGGAACGTATGAAAGACATTTTGGATGTGTTCACCAATACGTTGAAAAAACATACGGACCGACATTAATGATACTGAGGTTCTGGCTTTGTACTTGAAAGCCTGGATAGTGATTTCAATCGTGAATATCATACGTTGTATTAGATACCACTTTCGTTGATCAAGCAATTCACTCTACGATCTTCTCCGTAATCAGAAAAACGATAAGTGTCAGGCCGATCGTGACAAATGACAAAAATTTAATTTATTCATCCATAAAATTTATACTTCCTTGTTTTATTGTCTTTTCAAATGTCAGATTGGGTGTAGATCGGTTCGGCAGATGCTCAATAAAATGCAAAACCTCAAACATAACTAACTCGATCTGTCATTCACTGACAAACACGTGTGCTTCGCAGGTGCAGGCAAAAAGCTCACGAATCGTCATAGACAAAAAGAGAGGCACGCAGCAATTACGCACACAGAACAGTCAGAAACCGCCAGTCCTGGCAACACCAATAATTAATCACCTTCTGCACCGCACTATGAAAGTATGCGATTCTTGAAATTCTTATCAGTTTCGCCTCGCGGCCAATGCATGTCGTTTGATGATCAAACAGCATCGTGATTATCATGATAGTACGAGCATATTTTTTACGACTTTTTATCTTAGTTATTTGTCGTCTAGCGTTGTGCTGATTTATAATCATCTACGAAGTGGGTAGAGGCTGCTTGCATATATAAATGGTACGGACTAAATGGCGCGACGTTTGTCCCTCACTTTTCGGTGGATCGCAAAACAACGTCCCATGCATCCCTGACTGCTGGCGATCAACGACACGCCTGGCCAACCGTTTTTGCTTGGTCCCATCGACAGGCAGTGTGTGAATTGTTTGTGTTCTAGGGAATCGGCTCAGTAAGAGAAAATTTTACACAGCTTTTCGTTTACGTACCTTGTGCCTATGAAGCGCAGAGCAGTTATTATCCTCGCTGTTC